AATAAATATTCGATAGCCATTGTCCTGAACTTAATAATGCAAACAGATTTATTGTGTCCTGCTGAGGCGGACCCCACCTAAATGCTTTGTGAAAACATGAATCGGCATGCAGTCATATAGGGATTAGACTGACCCCTAGTCATTGATTTGATGGATTACGTTTATCCACCACCTCCTGAGGATAGCTTTCATTATTTTATGTGCCGGAAAGCCTTTATTCTGCCAACAATTCCAAGAACTTGTTTTCCCAAGAGGTGGGCTTGTCTCTCTAATGATACTCACTAAAAGGACTTCCAAGAATATTTATGTTGTATTATTTATTCAGAGACATTTTTAAATAATCATTTTCATACTTTTGTTCGCAAATGTTGATATTGCAGCCTAATGGTTTTTTAATCTGTCCTGTGGGACGATGACTTTTATTAAATCATTACATTTTATTATGTCATTACATTTTATTTTACCCTTACTTGGAAATATTTGTTTAAAACGTCATCATTTCACTCAAAATCTTAATCTTAAGATCGTCGAAGAACAGTTACTTGGGGGCGGGCATTAGAAATCGCCAAATTATTATTGATACCGATGAAGACGCCAAGAAAAGAAAAGTGAATCAGTAAATCGGCTTATTATATACTGAATCAGTGAAAAGACGACATAATTTTGAAAATAAATAAAATATGTTATTTGGATATAAATTGCGTAATTAATGTTGGCGACCGAAATTTTTTTAATAAATTTCATTTGACTGAATGAAATGGCTATCATTCATTAATAACAACTGTCATTTAATGTTATTTTTTCTTCGAAATTCTTCGTTAATATCATGGCTGTCGGTGAGTTAAAGAAACCTTTCCATTTTATTCTCATGCTAAAAATATAAATTCCTGTTTCGTTATTTCGGTATCTATTACCGTATTTATTGCTGAAATTTAACAATAATTCTTGAGATCTTTTTTACTTAATTCGTATACTCTATTACTCAATTACAGATTTACAATTTTTTTTGTTCAAAATATTTCATATAAATAATTTAATTTGTGAATATAACAAGATTTTTGCCGTATCTTTCCTTTGTGCAGTATTCGCGATCGCAACGCTCGAATACGCCATCTAGGGAGAAGATCGGTTCCATGTCTTGATCCTCCAGCCTTCCCTCTCTTACTCTTCTCAGTTGTATGGGAATGTACTACAATGATGTTTTTCCATTCCATAATATTTTTCGCATTTAACTGTAAAAAATATTTTCTAAAATTTCAACGATGTTTCCTTTTAGAACTATGTTTCTGGCAGTTTTCAGCTCCATATAATTTCTTGACTTAAAAGTTTTTAATACATTTAAAAATCAAGAGAGAAACTAAAGTATTTTCTTTTCCCATGGCAATCCACACCTTAACGTTGAAAGAATGCCAAATGTTGCCATAGATGGAAAGTTCTGCTCCATGCCTTCTGTAGCCCATTTATATCATTCTATCTAGATTTTGCATCAGGAGATATTTCACAGTATGCAAATAGTTTCCTATATTCCTGATGCTATAATTTGAAAAACCATTTATGCTATAATTGTGCCGACTATATGGCTGAGAGGTTAGCGTGCCGATGATTGCGGGTCCGAATCAAGCTTAAGGCATGGTTCTTTCTCTCTGTGTATTGTCTTGTTGTGTGATGTGTGAATATGGCCCACCCAACGAACGGGCATGTGTGGCTATGGTAATGTTGCTCGGCTCCGTCCCTTAAGTTCACAGGGAACCACCGAATAACGTTAAAGAGCAACACTTCCGGCATCTTCCGAGGCAAAAGAACTATAATTTAGATCCTGCCGTCAGAAAAAATCAGCAAATAAATATAATTTCTAAACGAACAGATAGTGCATATTAGCTTCCTTCTAAAATCAACGATTACGAATCAATGAAACTGTCAGCTGCAAAACTGACTCTGAAATAAAGCTATTTTATTTGAGAGTTTATTGTTTGACAAAAACTATCAACAAATAGCATTTTTGTTTCTAAAACAAAATATTGCACAATACACAAACTTGTCAAAATATATTTACATCCTGAATGTAAACTTCCATAGCTGTACATCAGGATGTGTTGTCAAATTTTAACTCACATCACGTTAACGGCGAGAAAAGGGGCACTTTTCTCTATACGGGGCAGTTTGTCTTCATTTATAAAGCAAAAGAACGACGTGTTTTCTGGTAAATTTCATTACCCCATTAGCCAAAAGGAAGAGAAAGTTGCTCCCTTTTCTCCCCTTGCCCTCAAGTTTCGCGTTGTTCTTTGTCCTGGGGTGTAGAACAAAAAGAAAAAAAAATTCTTCTTCCGGAATTGTTTTTGTTTTCAGCTCTAATGATAGCGAAGTTTCTTAAGCGTAAACCATCGCTCGGATACCGAACAAGGCAGACGATTTTTTTATCAGTTCTTTTCTCTTAAATAGCATGTAATAGAATTTCGATTAATTTCCGAACATGTCGAAAACACTGTTAAGGGACAATAGATTCCATTTTATATTCTGCGGGTGATTAGGCTGAGAATAAAGGTGCTACTTAATTTGGTTGACGTATTTTATTTATGGCTAAATTATTTCACTTCATTCTTTGCTTTATGCTTATAATGATCGTCTGATATCAATTTTCAGAATTTCTTTTGATGCCATTGATTTGTTTATAAATTAGGTTTCGAATTTCGTATGTAAAGATTTCTTTAAGAGCGAAGGAAGCTAGTGACATCGTTTTATTTTTAATAAAAATAAGAGCTATGCAGTGTTATGATGAATTTCAATCAAAAAAAGAATTTTAGTGATAGACTGAAATTTTGAATAATTATTATTCTGTATATTTTTAGCATCAATTCATTAAAGTAGCTGTATGGGAAAATTAACATTCAAACTTTAAAATCCTTGAATAATGCTGTATTATTTTCCATCAACTATTTTCACTACTCAATTTGTACTGAAGTTATAATTATCACTATAATAACACTGGGAAACGAATTTTTTGTTGCATTTATACAAATACTTGATCTTGCTTAACTCAAGTGTTGGTATTTCATAACTGAAGTTAGTTTTGTTCTTAAAACTGCAGATTTTTTTCATCGCATTTTTAGTCTATTTTTTGTTGAAATGTTTGTTGGAAAACGTTATATATAACATGGAGTCGCGCACATGATGCAACAAACTTCTAGGAGAGTTAAAGAACATCAACAGGATTAAAACTGCATCGAAACCCTTGTCCGGAATTGTCCTCTTACGCAAATAGGGGCGTTACCTTATTATGAACTATTCAAAAGCACATGAAGAAACAGTTCATGATTGAGAAGCGACCTTAGGGGCGTATGACAATATTTCCGGTCATGATCAATAAATTTATACCTTGAGAATTTATTTAAAAAATGGAAGATATCACAGAGATATTACCTAACATCGATTTACCCTACATTCATCATCAAACTTTGTGCAAGCAAAACTTTCATTTTTGTCCATGGTTATTTTGTCAAATACTACAAAAACATTTCTATATTTATGCATTAGGAATTTGTATCAAATATAAAACACTCCATATGTATGCATACTCTATTTCTCCATACTTGTCACAAATGTGATCAAAATATGTATTAACAAAAGGATTATAGGCATCTGAAGTTGATTCGATGAATCTTGTAAATATTAGAAATATATGTATACAATGAAATTCATGAGCAAACAACACAATGTGTTGTTTGCAGCAAATGTGTTACAATACAATATTCTATTTCTAATGCATTGAATGTGATCAAATTATATGTAGATATCACATAATAAAGCTCATAGACGCATTGAAGGTGTACACCCTTTCTTCTAGAGGATTGAACAACTAGCTATTGACCCAAAAGTCCCTGATTCGATACTAGCAGATTCCAAAAAACACCTTTCTCTCACTATTACACATTTGTAACCTCGGAAGACTAACATGTAACTCTTTCGCTCCTCGACAGATGACAGCACTTCACTTCTTTGAATTTTTCCGCGGTTTGCTTTGACACGACAAACAAATCTTCTTGGTCTCAGTTTACGTCTAAGTCAGAACTGCTCTGCAATTGCGACTTCACTCAAACTACGTGGCCTCTCAATTCCATGAAACAATCATAGCTGACAACATGTCTGATTTTTCTTATTCACTAGATGGGGACTTCACGATGGCAATTATAAAAGGCCTCCCAACTTGCCCTAGAAGATAATTTTAACTCAACTTACCTAGAGGATAATTATAACTCAATTTACCCTAGAGGATGATTCTAATCCAACTTTCTTAGAAGAAGAATTCTAACTCAACTTACCCTAGAGGATGATTCTAACCAAACTTTCCCCAGAGAATGATTCTAACCCAACTTTCTCAGAAGATGAATTCTAACTCAACCTACCCTAGAGGATGATTCTGACCAAACTTTCCCTAGAGAATGATTCCCGTTCAACTTACACTAGAGGATAATTCTAACCCAACTTAACCTAGAAGATAATTCTCGCCGCAACTTATCTTAGAGGATAATCCTAAACTAACTTATCCGAGCGGATAATTCTAAATCAACTTTCCTATATAATGCCACCATTTTCCATTTTGGGTAGAAATTTAGGCAGTTATTATTGTAATCAATAAGCAAACAAAATAGCATTGATGTAATGCAATACCGTGTATATTCCTATGGTGAAACCAAATGTGTATGACTTAATCATGTATGTGTTGTATTAAATTTGATTTTCATCTCAATTTGCTTCGTCGAATCCTGTAAAAGCTATAAATATATTTAAGGTACCGGAACTTAGTTTTAAAGCATACTATAAGTTTGATTCAAAAACAAATTATGGCAAAGTCGAAGAAACGAAAACATCTGTGTTTTCAAAAATAGATTTGTTTTCTTTTCAAACCTATCGTCTGTAAACTAATAAATATAAAGGGCATATCGAAATTGTTGTTTTTGCAGATAAGGCGGCGTATCTTGTTGAAGGGGACATACCTTACTAAAATGAACAACAGGTGAGTTTAAAAGTCCATCTATCAAGCAAACTATTTCTCTTCAAAACTTTTTTTCTTCGTTTTGACTTGAAAAAGAAAATATAAAAAAAAAGAAACATACCTTTTCAAAAGCAATAAACAAATAAAACTTTCTTTTCGAAAATCCCCTTTAGACTGCTTTTCTATAAAAGGAAGGATTTTCTCTTGTCAAAACTTTTTGGAGACAAAATTTTTCTCCCGATATTTGTCAACGTTTCGATGACTATGAAAGGGAATAAGAAAAAAGACGAGGGCTGGATTTTCTAGATTTCAAAGAACGTTCCTTATTTTTCTCTGGTGCAATGAAAATACATTTTCCCCCCTTTTTCTTATCACAAAAGAGAATAAGGATAATTGGAGAAGAAAAACTGGAATTATCCGGGTTTCTTTGCTGTAGAAGATAACTTTAAAACCAAATTTTCAAACTCTTTGACGTTGTAGCTAGGGACAGATTTCAAGCTAAAAAAAATTCTTAAAAATACTGCTTTTTTAAAGAGTATTTTTAGATTATGCTACTAAAAAGGAGTTACAAACAATTTTATCAATTGAATTAACAAAATACTGTAAATCATTTATTTATAAGTTATTTTTTCAACACTTTCTTGAGGACACATATTACGACCCAAAATAGGCTTAAAACAAACTTTGAAAATCAACATTTTCGTTATTTTCACTATTTAAATTAAGAAAATGTATAATTAAGAAAATAACATGGAGTTATAACTACGAAAAACCTGAATGCTGCAATTCTTAAAAGTTAGTTTAATTTTTCAATACTACTTTTAAAGGTACTGAAACAAAAAACAGGCTTCAAACAAACTTCGAGGATTAGTTTCCTAATTTTCAATACCATAAATGAAAATAAATGGAAGAAATAATACAGAATTTTTCGAGTTTTTAGATTTCGACTCAAATTGCGATAACTAAATTTGCAAGAATTTTAACGCTGTTATTGCAAACAAATTGCAGCTACCAATAACTTGAAGCCTTTACCTATACCTATAGAAATATGTACCAATAAAAATATGCCACAATACCAGTAATACTATTACAAAAAATGATATTTATAATAATAATGCCATTACCAAAAATCTCTATATTTAAATACATTTCATGCCTTGATTGGTTAAATTCTTTTATTAGTTTCTTTTATTATTATATTTCGCACCTATAAAAATAGCACGTATTATCACACTACCAGTAATACTATTACCAAAAAGTAAACTAATAATAATAATACTATCGCCAGTTATCCCTATAAACTATATTTCATGCCTTGATTTGTTAAATTCTTTTATTAGTATATTTCGTACCTATAAAAACAGCACCTATTACCACAACACCAGCAATACAGTGAAACTTCTCCTAAAGGCCACCTCTACTTAAGGGCCACCTCTATTAAGGGCCAATATTTTGAGGAACGAAAATTTTCCCCATAGACATAATGTTAATTTTCCTCCCATTAGAGAGCCACATTTTCCTGACTACCTCCAATAAAGGCCATTTTTTTTAAAAAATTTCTCAAAAAAGCCTTTTTTTTACATTTTTCTTCTCGCAAAGGCCATTAATCTAAAAAGGTGTGTCCAATTCTTTAACTAAAAGTTTTGTAATAGAAACAATATTGTTTTTAAAACCTTATGTGGTGAATCAGCTAATGTTGATAAAGATTTGTGTCAAGACTGGAAATCAAGGCTTCCAATCATTCTGGCCGGCTATGAAGATCGTGATGTTTATAACTTAGATGAGACAGGACTTTTTTTCCGTGCCTTACCTACCAAAAGTTTAGTTGAGAAAGCAGAAGTGGCCAAAGGAGGAAAACAAGCTAAACAGAGGCTCACTGTGTGTTTTTGTGCTAATGCTGCTGGTGAAAAGTTCTTTTTTTTTGGATAATATACCATGTCACTCGTGTTACGAAAACTTGAAAAGTGTAAAGCTTCAATTCTTGCCTCCAAATACTACGTCTGAAATTCAACCTCTAGACCAAGGAGTTATACGCTGCTTTAAATTAGAATACCGACGTTTTGTTTTGCGAAGACTCCTTTCTCTTATAGATTGCGATAAAAATTCATCACAAATCAATCAATCTATAACAGTATTAGATGCCATTTGGTGGATTAGACAAGCCTGGGAAAATGTAAAAGGACAGACAATTGTAAATTGCTTTAAAAAATGCGAGCTAAGCAATACAGCTTTAGAGGCCACTATCGATTCAGCTGATTTAGAAAATGAAGTGGTTG